TGAGATATATATATATATATATATATATATATATATAAATAAAAGATTTAGTATAATTAAGTTTAAGTTCTAATATTTTTGTTGTGTGCTTATTTTCATTTTTTCATATATATTTATATATAGCTATTTCTTTTTATTTTAGTTTTAACAAACTTATTGATTTCAGTTTGTTTTCCAAGGTAACATTCCTAATTTTCTTTTAAGTTTTTTAAGTTTAATTTTTTTTATTTATTTAATATTTATATTTTATCACAATGATCCAAAACTATTTTTTAAATAGTTTTAGTTAACAATAACAACACTGGTCCAATAAAACATCAGAATACTGAACTGATAGACATTCACCTCTTTCTGGCTTCTTGGTTCTTCTGTACACTGTTGATTGCAGGTTTAAGAGACACTGTGGGCGTTCTGGGGCTAAAGGAGGTTTTCACGGTTGTAGTTGTTTTTGGTGCTGGCGTGAGCTGAACTGCTGGAGTAGGTATGACAGGTAACTCACGGGTGGGTGTACAGTCACTTTTATTGGCCAGCCAACCAAGTTTAGATGTGCTCGGTTTTAAACCAGCTTTTCCAGTACCTCCACCTGATGCATTCTGGTCAGTCTTGCTAATAAAAGTGGACAGTGTTTTTGGTGGAGCCACTGTGATGTGTGTGGTCAGGGCCGTCAGAGGCTTCTCTATGCTTGTGTGTGTCTTGCAGATAAAAGTGCCCGCTTCCTTTCCAGGCTTGTAGGTGCCAGAGAGAAGAATAGTGGAACACTCTTTGCATCTGTTGAATAGAGAGATCGTAACTAACAAACAAGTCAGAAAAAATAAGTCTAAAGGGGTATTTACACTGGATAACTATCTGATCATGAAAAGACCAAGTGTAAATGCCTTCCAAAACATCAAGAGATGGATGATGATCTTCACTCTCTTCTTGACAGAGCAAAAACATTTCATTGCTATTATTCACTGGTATTATGCTAAATAATCAGGTGACCAAAAAAAAACAAAAAAAAACTATTATAGTTGCCATACAGCAAACAATTAAAAGGAATTTACAAACAGGCAGCTATTACAAAAATGTTTCCCACATTAAACTGCTCAAATTAAATCATTATTATGACAATTCAAGCATTATATCCATAATTCCCTAGTCATGTGAGCTGGGATCATTTACATACTGTACACATTACCTGTCAAAAGATTGGAATAATTACGTTTTTTTTTTACTTTTTTTTTTAAATGTCTCTTGTGCTCACCAAGGCTGCATTTATTTGATTAAAAATACAGTAAAAACTGTAACATCATGAAATATTGCTACAATTTTAAACAAATGTGTCCTATTTTAATATATTTAAAAAATATAATTTATTCCTGTGATGACAAAGCTGAATGTTCAGCAACCATTACTCCAGTCTCTGATGCTCAGTTATTCAATTATTATTATTATTTTATAAATTATTATTGGTGCTCAACTATTAAATAATTATTCTTATTATCAATGTTGAAAACCGTTTTTTCTGCTTAATATTTTTCTGGAAACAGTGATACATTTTTTAGGATTCTTTGATGAACAGAAAGTTCAAACATAATTTATTTGAAATAGAAACCTTGTGTAACATTATAAATGTCTTTACTGTCACTTTTGATAATAAAATAATGTAATAATTTCATAATATAACTGTTTTTATTGTATTTTTGTTCAAATGAGCCTTGGAGCCTAGGTGAGCATAAATGACTTCTTTTAAAAAAATTTAAAATATATTAATTATTTATTATTTCAAACTTTTGACCAGTAGTATGGTAATTTTTTACCAATTAATTAATTAATTTCTATTAATCATTTTTTTTTTTAGTTAAAACAAATTAATAAAAGGGTCAATGGATCAAAAAATAAATAAATAAATTTACTTAAAGCAGTTCCTGTGGTACAGTTTCCCATCTACTAGGTGGCGCTGCACAAGGTGAACATGTTCATTGCACACTCTACAGCTGCTGGTCAGAGATGATTTATTGGCGCGTTCAACCAAAACTTCTCTCTGGAAATTAAAAAAAAGATCAGTTAGTCATGAAACACTGCGCAAACAATACCTCAATTTAGGATATGTTTAAAATGATATTTACCATAAGTTTTCATATTAGAGTTATGTAACCTAAGACAAGGTTTGTTATCTACCCATGAGTTTGCATTACACACATTCTACAAGTAATACAGAACTGCTAAAGTTCCTATGTGAGCTGACAGGTGTCAGAAGAGTTGTGTAGTGTACCTTATTATCATTTGCCGGTTTAGGCGTCACGTTCTCTGTGGCTGGTTTAGGTGAGGCAAAAACTTTAGCCGTGATAGGTTGGTTCTTCTTCTCAGATGGTGCTTCATTAGACTCTTCAGCTGGTCTTTTAATCCCTCCCATACCTCCAACTGCACATTCACACAGTGAAATGTTTTTAACAATGCTAAATGACTAAGTGCTAATTAAGTTTAAAAGTGAAGGGTGTAATTTCTGTGGCACAAAATGGAATTGCAAAAATGTAGTTTACTACTGTTTGCAGGGTTGTAAAACTCTTACGGTTTCACATTATACTACCATTTATATTATCTTTTATTCATAATGTACTTTTTTGAACAGCTTTTTCTTTATCTCAAGATTATGTTTTGTTTTATGGCCTCTGGATATCCATATGTCTGAAAACAATCATAACTTTTGTAAATTGGGTGGATAACAGCTATGCAGTGACAGTACTGATATTTGTTGGGGGGTTTGTGTAGGTCTTACTAGGAGAGCGTCCATGGAAATAATTGTAGTACTGGGACACATAGGTCAGAATGCTGAGGCGATCAGGCACTTTTAGAGCCACCATGTCTTCAGCATCCAGCAAGGCAGGTATACCCAACTCCTTCTCTGCCATCTCGAAAGCCTGGTTAAAAATTAAATAAATAAGTTAATGCGAAGGATAAGGATTATACAAGAGTGATTTAGCTCTCAGCAATAAAGGTGTTTCAGTGAGTGTGTACAATATCTCTGGAACATCTGTGTGGCAGAACAATAAGAGGATTTCCTATTGAATGAGTTTTTACATTTATATACACCTATTATCAAGTCTTAGACCTGCAAAACTCATTCCAGATTTTAAGACATGTTTGATATCTACAGGCTGCAAAAGAAGAAGAAACTGAGCGGTTAATAAAAATTCATTTGGAATTGACAAGGACATTAATATTACATTTAAGGGCTTTTTTTCAAATTAAACGACAATATTTCTGCTTTTATTATATTCGCTCTTACACAGAAAACATTGCTTGACATTAGCTATCAAAACGGAGGATGTTTTTTCATTGTAGAATGTCTGGTCAGTATTACCCCATTCACAATGTCATCATTACATCAGCTTTTAGTTAGTTTCTAGTCAGCTTATACAGTTACAGTGATGAACAGTTGGGCAAAAGTTTGTCATTTGTGGTGATTTTCCACCCAGAGGCATTGAGTGGTAGAACTATAATTCCTCCATGCCATTATGCACACAAAAATGTGAACTTGGCCTGGATTTCTTTGGGAGAAAAAAGCCTCATTCAAAAATAAACAAGAGCAGACATGAACAAGGAGAGAGAAAGAGAAAACAATCTAGATTAAATCTAGAGGAATAAAGATGGATTATTTCTCTTTAAAGATTCATAAAAAAAAAACTCACACAACAGGTAATGTGATTCAAAGACCACAAATCTAAACGTAAAAACTGGGAATCGCTACAGATCATAACTAAAACTTACATGCCAAATTTTATTTATTCATTTATTTTTTGTACACGGTGTATCCGACATATTTTCTCACATATCAAAGTGCACAGTGATGAGAGGGGACACAACATTTCATTCCCTTTGCACTACTAATTCTGTGAATGAGACCAACAAAACGTTGAACTCTTAGTCGGTGCCAGCTTTCTCCTTACCTGATACTGAATCTCCACCCTGTAAACCATGCATTACCTTATCTTAACACTTTCATTTTCACTGGCTTTGTCTCTAGTAGCTCTGTTTCGAAAGAGAGCTATCCTTGCATGCTCACAAAGCTCTTCCTTAGTGCTTCTTTTGCAGTACTTTTCAATATGCTTTTCTACCCTCTCTTTCACAACAATACCATTTTTGGACAGCATTCCTTTTCCGTGGAAACAGGAACGTAAGAGTGTGCAGATGATGATATATAATGGCCTACAACAGCACAACATGTGACTCAGCTGTTGCAAAAACAGAAGAAACCACAAGAATAGGCCTCGAGTATGCGGCTGTGTCACATCTTAACCCTGGTCAACCACACATAGGTCATATGAGAGGTCTAGGAAACTTGCTAACTGTTAACATTATGGGGTTGTGATCTTTACGGAATGAAGGCATTTGCCAGAAAACTTAAAGCAGATTCAGTTGTTTTGCTCTACTGTCCTGAAATAAAGGACCCAAAAACGTACAAGCTAAGGCCAAGGAGAGCATTTTTACATTACACAAATAACTTTTTATCTATATCTTAAAAAAACAACAACAACAAAAAAGAACTTTGTAGCCAACTGAAGAACCCTACAGAGAGTAGAAATGGTACCAAATGTTAGCTAATTTGCCTTTTCATGTTCTTGATGTTCAATTTGAAGGTCTATTTGTCATATGAGGAAAATTATTTTTCAAAAAATTATTTTTGAGACTGTTATATATCAAAAGATAAAAACAAAAACAACAACAGTTAATCAAAAATGAATTAAATGTAAGTTGTGTTACAACTAAATGGATAAAGAACTGTAAACTGTTATGGTAATGGCAACTATAGAAAGATGCGATTAAAGTTAGCAAAGAGATCATTTTATAAAGTGAACAATCTTACCCGTTTATTGTTTTCATAGATATTTTCCTTGCTCAAAGAATCAAAGTCTCTGCAAGAGAGCAAACAATTTGAGACAAGACTGAAAAGGGATTTTCCCATGCCAAATATTAATGTAAATCTGACACTAATACAAACACAAGCATGTAGCCTGTCATGTCAACACTCAAGTTCCAGATATTCACTTGAATATATACATATATATAATATATACTTTATATTCATATAAACAACTAGAATGTTAAAGTAATGGTGTTATTGGTGTAATTTGGAGTATTTCAAGCACAAAATCTGTTGCCCAAAATCTAAAATAGTTTGGTCATCCAAAGTTCTAAAAGATCCATATGTAACTTCTAATTCGAAATTCTAGAAGAAGTCAATATAATCTTATTCATATATAAAGTTTTAATGTAACAAGTTATAATGTTCTGTTCCTAAATTAAAAAAATTGTGATGTTCTTATAAGTCATAAAGCAGGCTACTAAACATTTAATGATCTCATCCCAAGTTACTAAAAGTACCAATGTTTTCTTTCGAAGTTCTAAACTTTTCAACTTAATGCATAAAAGTTCCATTGCTTTTTTTTCCAAGTTATAAAATTCTTCACTCTAAAAATTCTAAAAGTTCTCACGCCAAAAAAACGCGTATTTTACTCCCCGGAACGAGATTTTTTTTACCGGGGGACCCCCCACCGAAACGCGATTGGAATAGTTTTGAGTAGCAATTGGGCGGGATTTGTTGTGAAAACCTGGCAACCCTGTGATATATCATGGTAACTTACTACTTTGATATATACCATGGTACTGAATGATTTTCATATTAATGTACCAAACACAAGTTACCAAAACATCTTTTTTTCATATGTATATGTGTATGTGTAATATATATATATATATATATATACACATACATATACGCGTGTGTGTGCGTACATATGTGTGTGTGTGTGTACATTGTTTTTTCAAATTTTGGCAAGGTTTAATATATATTATATATTTAATATATTTATATGTTTAATATATATGTTCTATATGCTCTTGGGGGAAAAAAGAAAAGATTATTATTATTTTATTTATTTATATATTTTTTGCCCCTTATGAAAAAGACATGATCTGGATAGAACAGCTATTGTTACAAAGTACATAAAAAGTGTTTTCTGCAAAATGAACTCGTTAATTAAAAAAAAAAAAGAACAAAGAAACACATTAAACATGACATAAAATAAGTGGCAGTGGTATTCATTTGCAATATTGCAATAATATTGGATGTACAGGAGGCCAGCTCTATTTTATGTTATGCTAACCTTTGACAACCAGAAAGTGTCAAAATACTTAATTTGATATTTTATTTTGAATGCAGATTTTGGCAAAGTGTCCAAATACTTTGATGCACAATGTAAGACTAAAATTGAATTGTAGCTTGCATACTTTATATCCATATTTCCATATACCCATATATCAATACTATATAAACCTGTTACAGTCTATATTCCTGTTTTGCAGCCAGCGGTAGCTGCATTATGGCAGGTCAATGTTCATGCAGGTGGTGTTCGTTATGCTCTTATGGGCGTGTCTGTGTTGTTGGCAGTGCTCTAGGTGTAGTTGGACTTGTCTAATCTCCCTGAGTCACACTGCAGGAAACAACAAACTGAGGCATGTGCTTTAGACATGATTGACTATTAACTATTTTAATATTTACATGTATACATTTTTAGGTAGGCTATAAACCAACTTTAAAACTGGACTTACTATTTTGTTCACATTTAATCATCAACATGTGCCTATGTTTAGTAATCTTTGGTCTTAGTTAATAATTATCAAATTAATAAACTTTTACAATAAACAATATAGAATATATAAGTATAGGCTACAGGGGCGCCGCTAAGGGGGGAAAGTTAGGACGATTCTAAGGGCCCACGCACTTTTGGGGCCCCCAGAGATCTGTTTTATTAGAAGTAACAGTAGTGTCTCATCTTTGGCAGCTAGACATAAGGCAAGGCAATGCCAGAGTGAGAATGTGGAACATCTGGAAGCTGTTATCTCTGAAGCCCTCAATATGCACAGAGATTGAGGGGGAGTATGTGATATTGTGTTATTGTTTTCTTCTAGTCTAAAATGAAAGCTATTAGGTTTTTACAGCCAAAATAAAAATTTTATTGTGAGATAAAAAATAGAAGATATCATTTCTAATTACATAAAGCTGGAGCTACACTGTATCTAAATAGTATCGGCTGTGAAGTAAATTATACAACATTCCAGAATTTGAGTTCATTTTTTTTCTATTCCACACTGTACACAGTGTTTTTTGTTAAGTTTATTATTATGCATTTGATAGGTTTGGTTCCTTTCAAGAGCAAACTTACTTTATGAATACTTATGCAGTCAGAGCTGATTTTATAGAAATTAGGTTTTTGGAGTCATAAAACAGAGACTTCAAAAATGCAACTTGGTATTTTTAGGTATTTTGTCAATTTTAGGTAATATTTGACTATTTAGCACTTAATTTTATTTAATATATTTTCACAGTATTTACAGATATTTAGATTTACAGATATACTCTACTGTTTGGGGTCAGTGAGATTTCTTTAAAAAATGAAGACGGACACAGTTTTTGTTTTATCCAGCTGTATTTACTCAGTGTAGCTTATAACATCCAAGTGAAAGATATAACACCAACATGTCAGAAAAAAATAAATAAAAAAACAGAATCACTGAGTTGGAAAAAGGATCACCCC